AAATTGATATTAGATTTATATTATGTGGAGTCCTGTAGCATATTGGTTAGAGCACTCACCTCACAATCGAGAAGACCTGGGTTTGATTCTTGGGCAAGACAAAATGTTAGACAAGTTTCCTTATGCCTCTGTTTACCTAGCAGTAAGTTGGAATCCGGTTGTTAGTCGGTTGGGGGTCATAATCTCTTCAAAAAATAGTAATAATAATTTGGTCACTCAATCCAGGAGTGTTTGTGGGACACTGCTGTGTGCAATTGGCTGCCAGGTGTTGCCCACAAATTATACAGTCAATTCACTTAGTGTATATTCTGTGAAGCGCTTTGAGACATCGCAAAGATAGGATAAGGCTCTATATCAAATGCAAGGATTATTATTACATTAAGAAATTTCTAGAATGTAATATAAGTTCCTTGTAATTTGTCAAATTATATGATTTACTTTGCACACTCAGTTAAAATTTTTTTTTTTTGCTTATTCCAAGAGTAAAAGCCCTGAACTGGAATGAATCTGAAATTTTCCACTGGTGCCCAAACATAAATATTTCCGCATTGTTGACAGTCCTTCCCAACAAACATACATTCACTGAAAAGTCGTACCCTGCTTTTGTGAACCTGAACTGACTTTATCCATGGAAGCAATGGTCCTTCCATGGATAAAGCAAGGTGCTACCTTGTTGCATTTAGACACACAAGAATCAATTTGATTCCTAGATACATTTACGGACAACTTTGGATAGTACACGCCTTATACAAATGTCAATGAATGATCAAAAAATAAGCTTCTGTGACTTACATTAACCATCATTTATCATAAGCACAAATTTTCCAAATTGTACTCTTGAATTGTCAGAATTTAATGGCAACAGTGGGGCGATATTTGGGTCCACATGTACTGGTAAATAGCTTCAATCCATCAATCGTCTCTGACTTTATTGTTTACATGTCACTTATGAGATACACAGTAATTATTAAACCCTGATTAGGCTGATAACATCAAGCGACACCTGGAGAGAAGGTGGACTTTTATTCATTAGGTGCGGCTGATTTGTAGAATATTATTTGACATTACAGTTTAACATTAAAAGCTCATATAAAGCAGTTTCAACTAAACGAAAAGCACATTACGTTGTGCTACCCTAAACTATTGTTCTCAACAACCATAAATATTGCTGGATAAATAAAAATATATTGGATAATATATTGGATAAATATTGGATGTTAGAAATGGGAAATGAACACGGGGAAATATTTGCAATGGTTTTATTGATAAAAACAAATGAGAAATGTCCTTTGCAAATCAGATAAGAGCGTAACATCTTTAAAGGAGAAAGGAGCAGAATACAATGAAAGAAAATATTGTTTTGTGTTTAACACGTGTTGCAAAAACCAGTTTGAAATTAGATTTGATTTGACATTGTTGTACGAGTAGATGCAACACGCCATCTTTGGAATGTCAGTCACTTCTAAGCGATTTAACAAACCAGACTCTCTTAAAGTCTACTACAGCAAGCGGGGTTCAACTCATATTAATTCCAAAAATGTTTTGATTCAAAGTAGTTTGTATTTTATGTTGCCAAGAGCAATTGAAAAGTGCTATTGCCGGCAGTCTGGCCCTTTTTGCATGGCCCAGGGGCTACAGTAGTGTTTAAGCTTCTGAATTTGCCTGGGGCAGGAAGACTGAATGATCACACGGCGAATCAAGTGATTTCTTACAAATTTGCCTTCAAATTTTTTTAAAAAAAGAAAACAACTCGGCATGGACTAAATGTCACTTTCTTCCCCTTCCAGTAAAGCTATTGGTGTACAGACCACCTAATATCCATTATGTTATAACCTTAGACATATATATCTTCAGTATTGCATCTGTTATCTTCTTCTGTATGTTTAAAGCACCTTTCTTAATGAAGCATTGCAATTTAAGACTGGTTACTTAAGGTTTAGAAAGTATAAAATGAATTGTGCATACCAAGGGTGATCAGAAAGGAGACGACTTCAGTAAATAGGATCTCCTATTCAGATCTCCTATTTTCTTTTGAAAATAGGAGATCTGAATATTCATCTAAGCGAAGCGCTAGTCCGCATGAACAACATTAATATGATCTCTGCTGAATTTGGTACTCAAAAATATTAACATATCAAAGCAAATGCCCCAGGCAAGAGAAGCTATCGATACAGGGGCACGATGTAATGTAAAGATTATTGGTTCTGATGGTTGGGAGAGAGGAGCTTCGGGCTAAACACTGCACACCATTAACTGAAAGTGATAGCAGAGGGATTTTACTATCAATCCAATACCACAACAACATCAAGTCTTTACTTTAAATATATAGATTTGGAAGAAGTGCAACAATGTTTTCTCAAAATCGCACCCCAGCAAAGCAACAAACCAAATACAACAAGATTGGGGGTAATTTATGGATTCAACTGAACTGTAACACGTCTTAGGAAACGCATGACATCCTGAGCAAGACACAGACCCGGAAACAGATGATTTCCTAGGTATTCTTTACACAAAAAGTCTAATTCGTACAATTAAGGACAAGTCTCCGACCTGGAAGGCAACACAAAGTATATTATCCCAATTAAATAATTGAAATAGCACTTAGCATTATTTTAAGAAAACGAAATAATCAAGGAAACGTAGCTTGTTTATTGTTGCACATTGATATCCAATATCCAAAAATGGTTTAAAAAAACACACTTATTTATCAATAGTTTTAATACCAATTAAAATACTGATAACTAAATTATTAAACTGTTGACTGTGTGTTGGTTATTGAGCTCCCCAGTGTAACTTACATTGGGAGAAGTCACGGGATGTCCTCGCAGTTAAAATGGTGTCTGGAATTGATTTTAAAATGCAATTCATATTTTTTTCCTGGGAACTCTAAACAAAACTGGAATTTGGGCTCGAAAGCTAACATAATTTTAGCTTATTCAAAAGCATTGTAAAGAAAGTACTGTTTCTTATGCAGAGGGGCGTTATATCACCAGGGGATATTATGCTGTGTTTTGTTTTTTGTGAGCAAAGTGTGCAGTAGGTTAACGCGGATTAGCGAATGGAGCTGTTCTTCAGCACCATCTGGGCACCATCGCTACATCAACGGACAGCTACTTGCTCCTAACTGTATTTCTTTGGAATCCGACTGACTAATGGGGATAACAACCCAGGAATGATTGCAGTTCAAATAGCATGTCAACAAGATCACTCCAATACCAAAAAAAAAAATCAGAAAACACTAACGTTGAACGTTTCTTCAACGTTAGGTAGAAACTCGAGATACCTAAAAATACGCAGCAGCCCTGTTGAACTATTTTAAATGAACTATTTTGTATGCAATGCGATAAAAATGTTAAATGACGTTAAAAACAAATGTTGCCTTTCGTCATTTCCATTTTCCATCATTTCACGTGTTGTTATAATATAGATCACGTAAACCTGTCGTCGTTATATTGTTCTCTGCATCAATTTGCACATATAGTTACAGTGACGGCAATGAGCAGATTTTAAAAAGAGGGAAGCCAATTTGAGGATAACAAAATAATTTTAAAAGGTAGAAATGCTTAGGCGAAGATGCTGACTTTTCTGACCAAGATTGGACTGACAACTTTTATGCTAAATACTAAATTAAGTTCAGACGCTGCTTAAGAAATATTAATTATCCTAATGATCTGAAGCCAAGCTTCATACTTGTTAAACAATACCTAATAATTGTTAAGCATTACTGTTTCTTTTGGAATATGTAGGAATCATTTATTGACTTCTTGAACAAATACAGATTCAAATACAGATTCAGGCTTGCAAAGCTTCTACGGGGTGACAACAAAGTCGTGATACTATTACATTGTCTAATAAGTATTGAAGAAATTATGATATTTTTGTTTTGTTTTAGATAATAGATTATTATTAGATTATCACGACTTTTTGGTTACCCTGTATTTACCACACAGGAACACGGATACAGTTTTGTGTAATATTATATGATACATACCGCAAATCATAAAACATTCGATTTTGAAATTGTTTCTTATTTCTTGCATTAAAATAATACAGCATTTCCATTCACATGTAGTTTTTTTTTTAAAAAAATCATTTTTACAGGACATAGTTGTTAAGAGGCGCGAAATTCAGGAGTTGCAACCCTTAATGGCTGGAGAGCGTTGAAAGTAAAGTAACAATAGACAGACTGGTTCCTTTACAGGATAGAGCAGTGTGGTCTGCCATCATTACTATGGGTTGGGTGGGTGTTGAGTGACCATAATTTATGCCAACCTCCGTTTCTTTTTGTCAATTATACACAATACAAATTCACATGATATATATGAACGCTGAATCTTTCTCTGACAGAGATAATTAGACCAATACATGATCTACATTGAAAAACCAGTGAGCGATGTGTTGTGTGGGTGCATTTCCAAACCGGATATCACACAAACCGTTTTACAGATCACTGTTTCTACTTTTACAGTGGTGTGTGAGCACACATAGAAACACATAAAATCCAGTGATTTCTTGAAGGTGCGATGTGCTGGATAGCACGGCAATGATAACAGTGAGATTACATCATTTTGAATATCAGTTGAGTCACTCTGTGCTCTGACAGAAAAGATGAATTTCTCAAATGGTTAACCTCATTTGTTATTCGCTTATTCAGTACCTTTGAATACCAGTTATTAACACAGGTGCTGTTTGTTCCATCGTTACTATCCTTTGCTATTCATACACTGCATACAATATCTTAAACAAATCCCACTACCACCATGTAGGACACTGGCAACCATGGAGTGCATTGCGAACAATACGTTGTTATGTGTGTGCACACTTATTGCTGAATAACCTGTTCCCTCGCTTACTGGGCTCACAGGTTGTCAATGCCCAGCAACAATTAAGATTGGAAGATGAGAGAAGCCGATAAATTGTGTGCCCAGGCAGACACGTTCATTGCTATCAAATATATGTTATGGTCACACGTCAAATAAATACGAGGAGAAGGGACCTACCTCTCCGGATCACTCCGCCTTGCCCGTTCAGAACTAATCCACATTGTGCCTCCACTGAGTTCTGTGAATCAACACAGAAATACGGGTTAAGCAAGTTGTAACATCAGTGATTTTTCTATTAATTATACCACTGGTTTTACCATTCGATAATGACATAGAAATTTCATCTGTATTGCTTCAATATTTTCAACACTAAAAAATGAACCTTTACTGGACCATGCTGAATTAGTCTGTAACACACACACTCACACACACAATGCATAAGTTTAATAAACGTGACCTAAATTCGAACATTTAACATGGTTTTAAAATGTTCGCGTTATTAACCACATCACTGTTTTCCTGGAATCACACCATCTACCACCGTGGTTGCCCTACATGTCAAATTTTATTTCTTCACAGGTTGCCGTTGTGGCAGAGTATATACAGTACATATGTCGAGCTTTTAACCTAAGATGAACTATTTCGATTTGTTAAAATACCCCCCCCCTCCCACCCTCTCACACACACACATGCATATATATCACCAAGAATAAAGGAGAGTGCTTTAACAGCTAACTCACAGATAATTTTACTTATCCATGGAAGTCTAACGTGATTTCAACACGACTGATTTACGCCTCGAATTATTTCTATTGCAGTTTGTATTGAGATAAATATTTATTTTGTTTACGCACGAGTTTCCCTTTTCTCAGCACACAAAAAGAAGCTCTTTGGCTTGTTAATCCATGGAGAAGTTTCAAACGAATTCGGAGAGAGGTGGTGCATACTAAAGACCGCTCGAATTTGCCTTTCTCGCTTTTTTTTCTCCTTTTGCACCCTATTGATGCGCTCTTGTAAACCTTTAGAAACTCGCAGTCCTTTCTCTTATGTTCTGGGGTTAAAGTGATTATAAAATCAATATAAAAAACTCCTAGATCAGGCATAAATTAAACTCGTGACGGGGAAAAGGTGTGACAGTTCCTTTTGTTTGCCATAGCAAATCTTTTTAGGGGTCTGAAAGATGTATCTACTGCCTAAAGACCGTTTGCATCTGTTCAGTTGTTTAAGCAGCACCAAGTCTGCTTGACTTGGGTTCATATTCACTGGAAAAAAAACGCATTTCACTGATCCAACACGAAGAGCATTTCAAAATACAAGATCAAAATGAAAGTTGCATATATATATCTGTACACAAGAACATTAAAGTGATTCAGTTAATATCATTTGATTTCATATTTATTGAATGCTTTATTGGGTCCTTTTTTTACGAACAGCTTGATTTTTTTAAAAAAATAAAAAAGCAAATAACTCGTCTGGTCAGATGACGTTGCATAAGTAAATAGATGAGTGACAGAAAGTCGAAAATTGGATAAACTACGGTGCACCAGCACACCGGATTTTCTTATTGTTTCTCTCTTGCAAATTCCCTAATCCGCCCTTTTAAAAAAAAACACACCACGCTTTTGTGTAAAGGAAAAGATCCCAAAAATGTACAAGTATAAAAATCAGCAGCAGACGTGCTGAGGAAAAAAAGAAGAGCTTAAAGAGGTTTAAGTGGACCAGAATGTGTTGCATTACATTAAGATTTCGAAGACCCAATGCCAAAACTTTTCGCTTCTCTCGCTTTCTCTGAAATCAAGTCACAGATTGCTTTAGGATAGTTAGGCTATTTAATTTAATTTAATTTAATTTCCTAAGTTGAGTAAAGCGAGAGAGACAGAGAGAGAGAGAGAGACTTTTTACGTACATTAATCGCCTTCAGTTCACTACTGATCCAAGAGATAAGGTTTATTGTTAATGACTCCGTCTCCTCTGAAAATAATCTGTCGCTCGAAGAAAAATTCATAAAGCTCTATAGCGGGTGTGATGCCAGTCAGTGTTTTCCGAAGTCCTATTTTTACTGAGCAGCTAACTATTTTGTTAAAATTAAGCGAAACGACCACGAAGAAAAGAAATAGAGCGTATACTGAATATGATGTGAGTATAATCTAACCTTGTTAGTTTGAAGCTTTTTTAAAAAAACAAGGAGAGAACTGAACTGCATGACTATTTAAAATGTCAAATGCAATGATAATTTTGTTTTAGAAATGAGCAATTCAGCATTGGTAGTGAATGGTTGAAAACAGTTTCGATTCAAGGAATGCAATGGAAAGATTTATCCTCCTGTCATTATATTTCCAATCATAAATGTTTCGTGCAATCTGCCTCTTGCCATTTGAATATTCCGAATTGAGATGGACACACGCTTCGTTTTTGTTGCTTGAGCTGACCTTCAACCTTTAGTTAAACGAAATATTCTCGTCTCGAAACTATTAATTTCACGTTTGCAACGCCAACCTCGTGCAGTAACTTTCGAGATTTAGGAGTGAAAGGAGGACACAAAATATCTTTTGAACGAATCTGCAACCGGAGAGAGGACAAGTCTACTTCAAGTTCACGGTTTGTTTTGGAAAAAATCTAAACATCTGATAATAAAATATGCCAACAACCGGAAGATAACGACACTCCAGTAATGTTGGCTGTTTTATTTATTTAATTCTTTTTGCGCTGTCTGCAATTAAATGCCAGTTGGCAAAATGTTTCATTTTCCGATAAACCATAGCAGCTCAATGCTGTGTGCGCTCGGTGATGAGAGACAACGGCGTTTAAAGTAGCAAACCTCATTTGTTTGGGGGAAAAAAAAGCCTCTGACAATTAGACAGAAAAATCTATCAAAAGTAATATAATCTGGCCTCGCGCTTGCAATGTGTGTGATGGCAAATCCGCTCTTTGTTGTTGCATCTGAGAGTTACTTCAGTTTGATTTCCGTAACCTTTGTTTGCACTCTTCCTTCCCTGCACCAGCGTGGGCAGGTGAGGATCACTCGTGTCTTTTCATTGCTACGGGAAGCTGTTTAATTGACTTGGAATTGTATGTCTAGGCGGCTGAGAAATGTTGCTGCCACATTAAATGCAAAGAAAAGCCCACGTCCACGTTCGCCGACGTGGCCACCGTTTGAATTGTTAAGGTCAGAGTTTGGTGCATCGTGAGGCTAGTTATTTCTAGGTTATTATCAGTAATCGTATTTACCTGCATTTCGTCTGGTCCTGGAGGTGGTAGCCCTAGACTAGGACCTGGTAGAAGTCTCTGGTCTGGATGCATCCCATATTGGGAACCATGGCCCATAAGGGCTAGGTCATGCCGGCGATAGGCATCCAAACAGCCCAGCTCCCTCCTCTGCTCATCCAGGCAAGAGGACTTGAGCGCCCGGGCATTGTGAAGGTTGATAAAGTCTGAAGGTTCTCCATGGTGGATCTGTTGGTAGTATTGTTGGGAGTGGTGGAGGGAATTCAAGGAATAAGCATCTGGGTTGACTGCAGGGTGGCTATGCTGGAACTCATAGTGGAATGACTGGTGGTGGAGGGGGGTGTACTGGTGATTTGCGGAAAAATAAGGTGAGGCGAAATCGGTTCCATTCGTGGGGTAGGTTAAAGGGGATGAGGATGAATAGGCGACTGTAGAATTTGCCACTGATTCCAGACATCCCAGCTGCATCAGACGATAGCTGTTTGATCCATCATGACGTATCTAAGAAAAGGAAAAGAAAAGAAAACAAATCTGGTTTGTCATTTCTTACAGCTCGCAGGTACAAAAGTATAATCAATCCTCTCCTCCTCTCAGACAGTTATAAGCCACCTAGAAAATGAAACCGCAAACGTCTTTAAATCTATCCATCACCAATGCAAAACACACAAATCCCTTCTAACAATACATGACGATTTATCTAAATTTGGCCACGTTTCCATTATGGCAACTGTTGCCAATGTCAGTAACCACTGCCATTCTCGACATAAATGTCACAACGAATGTACCGCGCTCTTAAAGAGATGAAAAGTAAGTTTTAATTGACCGTAACAGCTATACAAAGATAATCATAATTAAAAAAAAATACCTCGGGATCGTGGACGAGACCCGGGAACGTTGCTGACATTTTCGATCCAAAAAGAGGTTGTAATGTGAGCAGGGGGGGAAACGCACTGGATTTTTTTCCCCCCAAAATATAAATTCTCTCTATACACCCCGGAAGAATCCGGACGAATCTATTCTGGACGAAATAATGTTTCCTCTGCACAAAAGCAGCTCCCTGTATCACATTTTGTACTTGTCGAGGTTTTTTTCTTAACTGATGGCGTAGGTCCCTTGGTAATATATAAGTTTTGAAAATTAAGCACCAGCATTGAACTGGGAAGACAATAGACAGAAGCGCTTCATCCCAAGAGACGCGGAATAAATATTGTATCTTCTCCTCATCACAGCTCTAGCTGACTTTAAGTTGCTAATTGTATTGGGGAGTTTTTCATGCTTTTTCCTGTTTTCTCTCTGGTAACGATGGACTTATTTTACTAATCTGGTAAGCCTTCATTTCAATTTTGGAAGACATCAGGGAAGGAGCTACACATTTGTTGGATCCATGAGATACCTGCACACAGTAAGTAATGGTTTTTAACCAAAGATAGAACTGAGACTACTAAATCTTCATTTCGCTGCACATGATATCTGGAATATTTGGACCACTGTTTTCTTTTAGAAAAAAAAGGACGGATTGCTGGTTTCTGTCAGAGACGTGGTAAAATAAGACAGATTTTCGAGACTGCCTGGAACTCTCTCAATCACGACGTTATATCACCTGTGAGCCTTCTATTTGTTTTTTTTTAAGAATTCACCTGACAGGTCATATTAGAAACTATAAATCGAACAGAACTAATGAATATACATATATTAATGTAAAAAAATACAAAACGCTTTCCCTTTTTTATACAAAATCAGTCGTTTGCAAAAGAGGATGAGGCACTACACGATTTTACAATCCAACTTTGCGGAGTTCTCCATTTTCTAACACACAGATAGTGAAGCAATTTGTTACTAAGGACTTTTGTTCAGCCTGACAGAGGTTGTGTCCTGTATTTATTAGCATGTGACTGCAACGTTTCTTTATTTTCATCGTTTAAATGGAAAAAATATCCGCCTATTTAATTATTCTCATTTTTTAGCGAGATATGTTATTGATAATTATTTTTAAATCGTCGTCTTTGATAGCTGGAAGGAACTGTGTTGCCTTAATAAGTCACTGTAATATGCTCATTAAAGAAGGCGTTGGCCACCTCGAAGGCGACTTTCTTCAATTTGAAATTATCAAATGATGTTAAAGTCAAATGAAAATATTACTATGTGGCAGAAGAATAATTTACTGGGCTCGTAGTCCCACCAGTAATGACGCGCTTATTAAATAACCTCGTTAACATAATAATATGTGGCTTCAATGACTCGAACTCTATTGGGAGACGCGTATTTTCACCATGTTTTCTACTAAAATAGTTCACGAAATAGTTGATCGGAAGTACATTTATTATTGTACAGTTACTCTTCAGACGTAATCTTTAATTGTGCAACGATTGTGGTTTGTCATAAGAGATGATTAATTTTATCCTTTTATTAAAATTTCAACTTTTTTTGAGAAAAACATTTATATTGACCACCGATATATTTTTTAGTTTCACCATTACCTAAACATAAAACAAATAATTTCTTTATATCATCAGATCAAATAGCTTCTGGTAGATGGTGCTGGAAAATAATAGGAACTCTGTAAGGAGGCGAGGGCATATTCAAAGGCTGCTGTGCACATCCAGTTTCTTGATAGTTATTAAATAGAGCCAGTGCAAGGCTAACAAACTGGATACTGCCTTTTTAACCAGCAGCAGGCGATTTAACATTGAACTATGTGGAATAACAAAAAATAAGTTTTTGGTGTGGAGGTCTGCCACCCTATTCGTCTCTGCTCATGCAGGCTAACCAGACCTGTCACCCTGGCCCCTTTCTCTTTGTACAATTCGACAAAGGCACACGACTAGTATTTGCCTCCATTGTGTGAAGTCGAACTGCCCAGGCGTGCAGAAAGGTCAGGTTTCTTTCCTTCAACATTTCATTAGCTGTGTAGAAGGTATTAATAATCGCCGTTTCTTGGATAAGAAAACAACTAAATCAAAACACAATGCAAAGTTTATTACATGAAAATGAGCATTATTAACAATACATTCCTATCATATTATGCATAGGCTACTATTATCTCAAAACATACGTTGTCCTTTAGGTATATTTGCAAGTTTTATTGATGTATATCGCCTGATAATAAACCCTTTGCTTCTAATATGGCACGTTGTATTCTTCATTGATATTTATCTTCCATTTTATTAAAATATAATATTCACAAAATTATTGTTCATACTTTCCATACTCCCTCCAGTCATAATAATGCTCATAATGCCCCTTATCCAAATACCTGCCAATATCTTATCAATTTGATGTATTCAAATCCAGGTAGATCAATGGTAAACAATACATGTATGAAAACAACTTTCATAACTTTTAAAATAAGATGAACAAAAAAGAAATAACTATAGAAGTTTAACCAATGTGACTGACACAGACATCCATGTATGCCATTTGAGTATTATAATAAAAGTTGTATAATTAGGTTATCTTAAAATTTCAAAGCACATCTTCCATTTGACATATTGTGGAGAAGTTTTATGAAGCTTCTTGGCTATTTGGATTTATGTTTATTAGGATCCAGTTCTACTTTTCAGACTTTGACTGCCTCACACGCATTTTCAAAAGAAATGTATAAACTTTGCAATTAATTACTTCGACGTGTATTATTCCATTACTTGGGTGTAAAGTTGTCTGCCAAAGGCATCTTCTAAAATAGACACTTTAACATTGAAACCCTATAATGGCAACTATTCCCGTGTAAACTCGAGAATATCTGCAAATATTTTTATTTTTTAAAATTCCCCACGTAATAACAATAATAATCATTACATTTGATATAACACCTTTCACACCAGGAAGATGTTCCAAAGCGCTTCACAAGATATACTGTAAAGTGTAGTCATTATGGATTTTGTGGACGAATTATCTCGTCCCATCTCTAACTAGTTCCAAGGAGATATAAGTGGAGTAGTAAACTTTGTTCAATTATATTATGCGGCATTTGTTTGAAGTCAGTTATATATTTCCATTTAGGCTTTCACTTTGCCTTTCCTATTGCATAAGTAGAACTTGACATAACTGTTAATTGGGAAGGTTTGAACCGTTTCTTTGGTGTGTGGCTTATTGCTGAACAATATGCTATATTCCATTTAGATTTCACACGAGATGCATAATGCAATTAACAATTTAGAGTTTGTGTATTACACAATGAAGCCAAATGAACGCGAGTTTCTAATAACTGTTGCTTAGTTGAATCTGAAGGTAGGTTCTGTGAATGAGAAGCGCAGATGCACGTTTTTTTTTGCATAATGAGCATATTTACCAATTTAAGATTCTCAACTCTTAATTATACTTTCGGCTGGGCTCAGAGGGGAGCTTAATTTGCGTCTATTACTAAGCGGCAAATTTTCTGAAGAGAGCAGTGCATCGTACAGCATCACATCTAATGACCATTACTGTCTGTTGCACCAACGACAGAAGACGTTTTAAATTTGGCGGGCAGAGTGTCTGTTTAAACCGAATGAAACGCACATCCTCTACATCAACTGATACAGACCGATTAGTTCTGCCATATGCACAGTACTACTCCAATATTATGTTCCATCTGTTGTTATTTTTGTCCATTTCCCCTTGAACTAATAGATGAACTGAAATATATAGTTCTTTGTGTACAATGAATAGCTCCAGACGTGTAGCAGTTACTGTGTGAATAGTCTCAGTTATGTTGCCTTTGTATGGGGATTAAGACTGGCACATAAATGCCGTGTAATAATTCTAAACTCACATAATTATGGGCTGTGTATGGCCTTTGTTGATCTACACATGCTGAACTGCAAAATCGTTCAAAAGAAAACCTCCACAGCCTGTCCATATAACACAAGCACTTGTCAAAAAAGAAGTGACTGTTGCCACGGTCACAGCTGGGACAATAATCATTATTTTTTTACAGTAGGCAGTCATCACGGAGCCAGGCACATCAATTTATCATTAGGCTCTTCTTTAATGCAGATTTTATTATATTAACGGTACCAACCGTGTCAAAACGTGTGCACGCATATGCAAATACATGTATTTAATACGTTGAATGCAATATACTTCACAATGTTGGAAATGACAGCAAGCTATATGAGAGACCCCGATACATGAAACAAGTTGGGAAGAAGGACATAGACAAACATCACATGCCAGTATAACAGGTCAATTGGTATGAATGCAAGAATAAATTATGTGGGTTTTTTTGTGAGGAGATAGGATTCCAACTGACCTTTGCTCTTTTAAATGTAAATAATCTGGAAAATCCACTTATTGACAGTATATTTGTAACATCGGCAAAACTCGCACAGGAAGTCGAGATGTGCTTTTCCATGATCATTCCCAAATCACTATTTTGATTTCGTACAGNTTTTTTTTTGGTAAGACAGATGTCAGTCAATTTCAAGTAATTGTTGTGATCTTCACATTGGCCTCTCTAAAGGTACATATTAAAACATAAATGTGCACGGTGCAAATATGAATGTGTACGGTTCTTCCAGTAACCCATAGATTTAGTTTAAAAGTTTTGGAATGCCCAGATTGACATTTGCCAAAAAATCCTTTAATTGAGTTGAACCCTTTTTTTTTGCTAAATTGATTTGGAATGCACAATTCAAGATTACAAAGAGCATAAAGTTATTCTAGACTGACGCGCATTTTCTTCTACGTTCATTTTCGCTTCAAAAACTACATTTTATTTTTATTCTCAGGTCGTTTTACATCATTTTTTACAATACCAAACTATACTAAAATTCGGAGAGTTACAGGTGTTCTGTGTGGTTTATATATATTATTGTGGTCCATTGCTGTGGACGGTAATACACCACATAAAACTTCAGAGAAAGAGTTACAGCTTTTATGTGGCTCTGGCTGTTCAGGTCTGGGCAGTTTAATAATATCCGAGTC